TTAAAGCTCTTGAAAGACATTAACCGTCAAGAGATCAAATTTCTCTGCTGAATGAAGAGTCATTTCAGAGCCGTAGAAGGTATTTAATGAGATCCTGGATCAGCTCTGGGGAGGAGACCTGGAGGGAGTAGGTGTAGGTTCTGCATGCCCTCTGCCAGTGGAGGATACCAGATTACTAATGGAATCTTCTTGCCATGGTGTGCTTACGGGCCTGTTGCAAGGGCCGGGGCCAGCTTTGAACATTCCACCAAGAACACTCACTCCTGCTCCCTGTTTTACCTCCCTTCATTTTGTCATGTGACCCTTAGGGCCAAGGTGGACATGAGGTTCTATCACTCGGTAAGACTCTCTGAATCCTAACTCTAGTCTCAGTCAATGTCCCTGTGTGGTCTGCTCTGCACGTCGGGACCAGATGGCTGGGATACAGATGGAAGTTGCGTTCCTGTTACCCAGGGATGTGAGGGGGAGCACATGTGAAGTTGGAAAGAGTTTGGGATTCCATTGCTTGAAGGGATGCTGACCGAGGTCAGGTAGTCATCTGCTATCTTCACACAGTGTAGCTTGCCATTGTGCCCAGTGGAAGGCCAGAAACATTACAGTCACTGTCCAAAGTCACATAGCTGTTTGAAAGGTCAGAAGCAATGAGGGCAATGCGGCCTCCCTGCTTTGAGTCTTTTCTTTTTTTTTTTCTTTGTGTGTGGGTGTGTGTGTGCGCGTGTGTGAGTGTGTGTGTGTGCGTGTGTGAGTGTGTGTGTATATATGGTGTGTGTGTGTGAGTGTGTGTATGTGTATATGGTGTGTGTGTGGGGGGGGTTCTGTGTAGTCCCGGCTGTCCTAGAACTTTATAGACCAGGCTGACTTTGAACTCAATGAGATCTGCCTGTCTCTGCCTCCTTAGTGCTGGGATTAAAGGCATGCACCACCACTGTCTGATTTCTTTCTTCTTAAGGCTTATTCTTATTTATGTATATGTGCATGTGTCTTTGTGGAGTTTACGCCGCACACATGTATGTATAGGCTAGTGTGTGTGTGTGTGTGTGTGTGTGTGTTTGTGCTCGCCCATGTGTGTGCATGCATGTGTGTGTTCCCTCAGAGGCCAGAAGGGTGTGTTAGAGCCCCTGGAGCTGGTGTTTCACACAGTTATAAGCCACCTGAGAACCAGCACTGGGAACTGAACCTGGACCCTCAGGAAGAGCAGCAGGCACCTGTAACTACTGAGCCATCTCTCCTCACTTTGGTTTTTCTTTGCTCTTTGGGCCGCTTTTACCCTTCTCCTGTCTTACCACTTTTTGCCCTGTCCCTTTCTCATCATCAACTCAACTTGCCCATCTTTAACAGCGCAGTGTCAACTGTGTCCTGGGGATATCTAGCTGGTTTCTCCAAGCCCTTTGTTCTGAACTCTCTAGAAATTCTAGAGTTTCTTTAAATGGGTGACACTTAAGATCAGGACCAAATGGCCTTGCAGAATTAGATATTCTTTCTTTCCCTATTTCTTCCCTTTCAAAGACCTCCCTGTCCGTTCCCAGCCTCCGTGGTCCTCGGCTCTAGTTTGCTAGACTGTCATGGAAAGGATGACCAGTTACATCTAGGCCTTCCAGGCTTAGCATCTTTGTCAGTGGTCCCAAACCTTGACAGTCATGTAGACTCACTCTTATCTGTGAGAAAACAAACTCAGAGAAGATAGCTTTTCCAGGATCACGAAGTTCCATGACTAGCAACTGACAGCTTTTTGCCAAATCACTCAGTCAATTCAGAATGGCCTGACCTAGGACCCCATTGTCTGTCTCATAGCTGGCCCCTGTGGCCCCCAAGCTAGAGTAACAGACCTCTGAACTTGGGTAGCAGTGGCCACATCCTTGCCCTAGGTAGAGCCTTCCATTTGAGACAGCTGACTTTTGCGTGACTTACAGTGTGCTCATTTCCATTCATCCCTTTGTCTCCTCCCATCTTGCCTCCTTCCCTTCTGCCACTTCCATCAGGAGCCTGGAGGGAACCCAGCCCTATGGGAAGACGAAGAAAAGGCTGCCCATGAGAGATCTCTCAGGACAACATGTGAGTGGCCACTCTGTGGTACTGTCCTCTGCCCCACTCAAGTCTCTCTCCCCAAACTTTCATTTGTCCATCAAATATTTATTAAGCATCTCTTATATGCTTGTCAAAACTCTAGCACAACAAGTAGATAAATACCATTTGAATATGCATGCCCCTTCCAAAGGCCTTCTCAGTACTGGAGGGCAGGGAGGCGGCACTGTGACCAGCCTTGTGTGTCTTGAGTTACTAGTGGAACACAGAAGGTCAGGGAACTCAAGATTGTCAGGGGGTGTGACATCCAGGCCATTTTAAAAGGATGAGTAAACATTTCCCAGTATAGGAGGTGGGTGGGGAGCATCTTTGTGTTCAGGAGACTGCTTCCACAAAAGCCACCCCTCCTCATGGGGACCTGGTCTTACCCTGGGTAGGGAGCTGAGAACAACAGGACTGTGTGGGCTGTGACTCTGAATGCTGGAAGGGTGAGGTGACAGGAAGATTTCTCTCTCATTTAGGGTTACTATTGCTGTGATGTAACACCATGGCCAAAATCAAGTTGGGAAGGAAAGGGTTTATTTGGCTTATACTTCTACATCACTGTTCATCACTGAAGAAAGTCAGGACAGGACTCAAGCAGGGCAGGGACCTGGAGGCCAGAGGTGATACAGAGGCCATGGAGGGATGCTGCCTTCTGGCTTGTTTCACATGGCCTGCTCAGCCTCATTTCTTATTGAACCCAGGATGAACTGGGCCCTCCCCCATTGATCACCAATCACGAAATACCCTACAGACTTGCCTCCAGCCATGTTTTATGGAGGGTTTCTCAGTTGTGTTTCCCTCCTCTCAGACTCAGATGACTTTAGCTTATATCAAGTTGACAGAAAACAATCCAGTACAACTCTTGCTTGAAGGAAAGCTGAAAGCAGGGACTGGAGACTGTGTACCCTGGCAGGAGTTGTGATTCAGGCCACCTCTCCAGCTAGCCTCTGGCCCAGCCTTAGCCACTCTACTGAATATGAGCAGGTTTATACCTTCATTCGACATTTACATTGGTCCAAGAGGGAACTCCAAACCTGCCTCTTGTACCCTCCCATGACCCAGCCTGGTTTTCCTTCCCAAGGAGACAGGGCATTAGCTACAGAGTTATAGGCTCATACCTCTGGCTCCCCTTTAGCATTGCACAAGTGACATGCCGCAGGACACATGAAAGGTGATACCAGCAGGCATCCAGCACCCAGCTAGCTCTTTGGAGTTGGATGGAGAGACCCAGGTCCTGGTCAGATGTATGAATCCAGAGAAGTTTCATGTTGTGTTTTCCTTAAATAAATCACACTTAGGAATATAAACAATGGAGTGGAGGCTCTTCTGTACCAAGTACAGGGAGAAGAATAGACCTGAGTAAAGGCTACACCTGCATTTGAACTAGTACTTGTTTCATTAAGATTGAGTCTGAACACAAACTCCAAGGAAGCTGCTCATTGTCAACCTTCTCTCCAGCTCCGGATAGGGGCTGGAGGTGGAGGAGTATCCTCCAGTAGTGACGTATCCACCTCCTACACAATGACAAGTGAACTTAAATGTACACTTACTACAAACACCCTAATGGGCAACTTGCAATCATATGCACTCACAGACAAGAGACATGTTTCAGACAGTATGGATTGAGTATTTATTTATGGCAGGGTCACCCTATATAGCCCATATTGACCTTAAACTTCCCATCCTTCTGCCTCAGCCCCCTGTATGCTGGGATTACAGATGTGTGTCAGTGAACCTGGTCAAAATTCAGTTTTTATTTGACTCGGGGGAGGAGCAGTAAATCTCTCTTTCACATAATATTTTGCATAAACTAATATTAAAATGGATCTGCATTATCAAAGAATGAGTTTTAAGTGTGATAGAGGAAGTTGAGGTGTGCTGTCTGGGCTTTAAAACCGGTCCAGAGATAATTAACAAGATTTGTAATTTCTAACAGTCCAGACCATCCTAATAAAACCAGATTTGAACGAGAAAAACTCCTTCTGATGAATGGAATAGATGGCATTAGAATCAACACATTTTTTATTTTAGTGTTTGGAGAAAAGGTTTTGCTTTGTAGCCCAGGCTAGTGTTGCACTCATGACAAATCATCCAGTTTTACCCTTCTAAGGGATTACAGCCATCACATCTGGCTTGAATTTCTGAAGGTTACAGAAGAGCACCTAGAAAGGACTCAGGATTTCTCTGGCTAGTATTTCCAAAGCATTCTTTGCAAAGTTAAAAAGATACTTGTGAACTCTCTGTAACAACAGGTTGGGATGTGGACCTCTTCAAGTGGTACAGGTAGCCATACCCCCCTCCCCCCAAAAAATCAATAAAAGCTTAGGAAGTCAGAGTTGCAGGGATGATTCAGGAAGGAAGGTCCTTGAGAACTCGGAAAAACTCCCAAGGAATCAGAGGACTTGTGCTGAAAGGCAATTGTGTGCCACTGGTAGAGGCTTGGCTGAATTCAAGGAGAAACAGGAAAATCTTCCCGCGGCCTTCTAACTCGCATTCCCTAGGCGCACCAGGAGGAGTTTCTTCCTAGACTCCTGGGGAAAAATCGTTGTGAGAGTCCAGCAGGTTTTTGAGACTGGCTGGTTCAGTTGCTGGCCATCATCCGTGGCTCCCAGGGGAGGAGACGCAAAGAGCTCAGAGGAACGGCGGGGCGTGCCCAGGCCTGGGGGAGTGCTAGGGCGTGGCCTCAGGATGTCCAATCCCCTTCGCTCCCCGCTCCACCAACCACGCGCCGCTGTGGGCGGTCCCTGTCACAGCGACCGTTCCTGGGTGCGATTTTCCCCCCTTTTTTTTCTTCTCTTTCCCCCCCACCCCCCCAACTTTGCTTTTTTTTGTGAATGAAAAAAGGAGGTCGTGAGCGGTCCCTGGGACTGCGGCGCTCGCTCGACGTCTTAAGGCTGCGCGCGTGCGGCGGCCTCGTCCGGCGCCTCGCTCTTCTGCGCGCCGCCTGCAACCTCCGCAGCGCAGCCGGGCGGCGGCGCGGCCCAGTGGCCGGAGGTCCTAGCGGCGGCGCGCAGTCCGGCTCCACGAACCTCCATGACATTGGGCGCCAGGGGCGCGCGGAGATGCTGATCCGGAAGAAGCAGTGGCTGCAGTGCAGCGCGCGAGGCTGCTCACGCGCCGCGGTCCGGCCTGGGCTTCTGTGCCAGAGTTTCTGATCGTACCCGAACCGGGACCCCAGGAGGCTGGATCTCCAGCACAGAGCAGCGGCGTCGACGGCGCCCCAACTTGCATGCGAGGAGTGACCCCAGACATCTCACTAAAATGAGCGTGCTTAGCAGGAAGAGATGTGTTCCCTACACTAGAAATTACCCCGTCACATGTAGTGGTGTAAGTACACGATTGATTTCTGTTATGGCCGGGTTGCAAGCAGCCTCTGCAAACGCGCCGCCTCGCCTTGGCTCAGCTTTCAGCGCCCTCCCCTCTCCTGCCTGCACCCAGCCTGCCTTAACCCCCGGGCTCCACTCTTCCCCTGGGCTCCTGCTGAGGCTGCTTGTTTCAGAAGGGGAGAGAAACTAACCTTTCTTGGGTGTTTTTAGGGGAGAGTATATACCTTGCATTGGCGTGGCGTGCCCCTCCCCCTTCTCTATTTCATTAAAAAATTGTATGTGCAGAGCAGCATGTCAGGTTTCCATAAGAGGTTAAGAGGTGTACATTTTTTTCTTTCCTTCATTTTTTTAGTTAAGCCAGTACAATTGGGGTGTTTGCTGACGGTTGTGGAGATGTTTCTTTGAAGTCAACTCCACTGTGGCCTCCAGCTGAGTTTTGGCAAACTACTGGTGGAAATGTTGAGTTTTGTTTGTTAATGTTCAGGTATCCCCGGATTGAAGAGGTTTATCCTGTATTTAGGCTTCTGTTTTTGTTAACGTGATCATTCAAGCTCCCTTTGGGCCTTGCTTTACGTTTTCTGCGTGGGGAGGATCCACCCCTCCACCTTCGCCCATATTACAATGTCAGCTTTCCCAGTGGGAGCTCATTTAATTCCGAATCCAGCCTTCCTTTGCTCCTCTCCTCCAGATTCTCCTTTTCTATCCATCTTCCTTGATTTTTACTTTCATTTTTTCGATTTACCTCTCTTTCAAATTTTTTTTTTTTTTTGTAAGATGCAGGATGTGGGATATCGGTTGCTAGGAGACAAGCCAGGCTCCCAGGGAGATTGTCGTTTCCTTGACAACCAGACTAGGGCAGCCACAGATGAACAAGCCTCCTATCAGCTGTGGGAGGGAAAGGGGGGCTTTTGAGCTCTGCAAAGAGTGTGTGTAGGGGTGCGGGGGTGGGAATGGGAGCCCTTGAGGTTTGTGGGTAATCTGAGCACACCTTCGGATCTGTCCTGGACAGAGTACAAAGAACTGGGAAAGCAGTTGTGCAAAAGGCTGTTTGTGAAGAGGGGAGTGGTGGTTTGGGGACAAGAGTTGGGGAGGAAATACCAGTGACTTTGGGGTTGTGAAGGAGTGGAGTGAATTGGAGGTTGTGATACCCAGGGCAGGGTGGAGGTTGGTCAGGAGTCTCTGAAGGAAAGGCTTGAGACAATTGTGAACAAATAGTCTTGAGTCACTGGAGAAAAGAGTGGTGCCAGAGGGGGAAGGGGCAGTGGGGAAGCTCACTGGGTGGTTTGTATCATCGTGCATCAGCAGCAATCCAGAAAGCAGCAATATTCTAGAGCAGAAATTATTTTAATGCTGGCATGCTCTCTCCATGGTAGGATCCTTGTTTAATAAGATAGGCCCGATTAGACAAAAGTTCTCCTGGCTTAATTGGGCCAGCCTGTATCTTAAAGAGAGATATAATTACACATGATATGCAATCTGGCATTATATAATACTATATTACATAAGAAGACAAATGCCTCCTTTCACCCAGGCTCTCTTGGCATGAATTTACCAAAACTCAAAAAATTTCTTCCAACACTGTCGTACCCATTTTCTGGAGGTAGAGACTGATGTTCACAAAAAGTGAAGAGGTTTGCCTCTTTCTAGATAAGATAGTGAAGCCTGCTGTTGCAACAAGGATGATGATGACCAGAAGAAAAAAGGGGAGGGGCAGTTGGTGGATGTGTAAGAGAAGTGTGAAGGGACAGCCAGAGAGGGGGCGGGCTGGAGTGTTCAGGTTAGATAGCAATTTAGACAGGCTGCTTCCTAAACTCATGGCCAGTGTTTATCACTCTCCTACCTGTTGGCTCGCTGGCCCCTACTGAACTCTGGAAGCAAAATCATAAGGTGTGTGTGAGTCCTAGTCATAAAGCAGCTAAACTTGGACATGCCCCTCCATTTAAGATCCCAGGCTCTTCCTCTGTGCATCCCTCTCCCATTTGCTTCCAGACTAACATGCTGGAAGGAAGTTCTGTTGCTCTCTGGGTTTCTGTCTTCATAGGTGAGATTCCCTTCCTTCCTTCCTTCCTTCCTTCCTTCCTTCCTTCCTTCATTTCTTTCTTTTTTTTTATCCATCCCATAAAGCAGAAACCACACCTACTTGGCTCTTCCTGGTGCCTGCACCTCCCTCAGCTGTCTAACTTGAGTCTAGGAACTGTCAAGGAAGATTTTATGTACCCAGTTCAGAAGAGAAGAGAGGAAGCTATAACAGTTGCCTGGTGGACAGGACCAGGAAGGAGAAGGGATAATGCAGATAGTTGCCATAGAGACTGGTGGACAGGACCAGGAAGGAGAAGGGATAATGCAGATAGTTGCCATAGAGACTAGGTCAGAGCTTGGTGGTGACCCCTTAGAGTGGAAGGGTCCAGGTCCTGTAAAATTCCAAGGAGGAGGATGAGCTTGTCTCATTGAAAAGTCCTTGCTGCACTTTTCGCTTAGGTTGCTGAGCTGCATCCACTTGCGCAAATCCCGGTTGCTATGTTAGTTGAGTATTTTAATTCTGCGTTCCTGCATGTTAGTATATAGTTACAGCCTGCCAGGGACAGAGCTCCTCTGCTGCTGCTGCTGGTGCCTTGGCGCTGGACTTGATGGCTCAGCAATAAAGTGCCTGGGCAGCCTCCAGGACTCCTCTGTGCTCAGCCTTCCTGTACCTGGGAAAGCTTACTCCAGGTGGCTCTAGCCCAGAGATGCCTCCCTGTACACAGGGAATGAGCAGGGGCAAACTGATAACCCTCGGTGCACTTCCCCTGCCCCTTCTCCCTTCCCATCCTGTTTACCCCTTCTAGAAGGATGGATGCCAATGGAGAGACTGTCCTCAACGTCTCCTCAGCTTTTTAACCACTGATACCACACTTTATAGAAATGCCTCTATCTGTTCATCTGATCCATTACTTCTGGGATGGACACACTACTACTCTGCCTGTCACCAAAGGAAACTGAGGCAGAAATTTAGGATAAGCTTGACCCTCAACCTCCTGCAGCATCCAGTTCCCCACATAGACAGTTTGTCTGGCTTCTCCTCACAGAGCCGGAGAAGTGAGGAACTCCAGTCTAAGCCCCTTCCTCTGTAGGAGGTTGAAAGGTTCTTACTCTTGGGAGCTGGTTGTGGGATGTTGCAGGTAACCCAGATAGGGGATGGCAAAGCCCATGGACCACAGAGTGTATTGTTCTGGGCCAGGACTCCCTCCATCCCTATCTGAACGTAGGTGTTCAGCTGAGTAGACAGGTGGGCATCACAGCAGAAACAGAGTAAGGAGGGAGGGGAGGCTTGTGGATTCGGCAGGTACACAGAAGGGCCCCCTACTCAAGAGAGGCTGCCAGAAAAACCTCTCCTAGCCCATGCATAAAAGAGGATAGGGTAGGAGAATGGAGGTGAGCGTGCCAGGGGAGAGCTGCTGCCCAGCCCCACGTGTCCATTAAATTTTAAAGTGACTCTGCATTGGAGCATGCTGGGAAGGGGTGGGGACCTGGCCACAGGGCCGCTTCTCTCTGCTGCTGTTCTGCTGCTACAGCTCCAGGGAAGAGGAAGGAGCGCTAGCAGGCAGATTCCCTGTCTCTGGGGGAGTGTGGATGGGGCCAGGCGCAGGGCAGATTCTGCCTTGGGATCCCTCACAGACTGCTTTCAGGCAGAAGCCCAGCTGCAGGATGGTGGGGACCAGAGGGAGCCAAGTGATCCATCTGGTGGCATTGTCCTACTCTGCCTGAATGAGCGCCTGTCTCCTAGGGCCCCTGCAAAACTCCTTCCCTGAATGCTGCCCACTCCTCTCTCTGCACATTAACATTAATGTCTGACAAGGCCACAGACCCAGTGGAGGACAAGGCTGCTTGCATTGACCCTGGTCCTCAGGTATAGCATGCCAAGCGGTCCTGATATCGCCTTTTTCTTGCCCTTCAGGTCCCAATTAATGGATTCTGACATGGATTATGAAAGGCCAAACGTAGAGACCATCAAGTGTGTGGTGGTGGGTGACAACGCCGTGGGCAAGACCAGGCTCATCTGTGCCCGGGCCTGCAATGCCACCCTCACCCAGTACCAGCTTCTTGCCACCCATGTACCCACAGTGTGGGCCATTGACCAGTATCGAGTATGCCAGGAGGTAAGACCACAAGGTTCCTTGATTGGGGGTCCATGCTATGTATCTTGAACTGTAGCTTGGTGTCTCTGGAGCTCATGAGAGCCCCCTAGGGGTGTGGCAGAGGTGGATAAAGTAGAAGGAGCTCCTCAAGAGAGAGCTGAAGGAAGTCCACCCCCAGGGAGGTAGCTTTGACCATTTGTGTTTTCATTGGTGTCCTGGTTAGGGAGGGTTTCTATTGCTGTGATGAAACACCATGACCAAAAGCAAGATGGGGAGGGCAGGGTTTATTTAATTTACACTTTCACACCATAAGGAAATCAGGACACAAACTCAAACAGGGCAGGAACCTGGAGGCAGGAGCTGATGCAGAGGCCATGGAAGGGAGCTGCTTACTGGCTTGATTTCCCTGGCTTGCTCTACTTGCTTTCTTCTAGAACCCAGGACCACCAGCCCAGGAACTGCACCACCCACCATGGGCTGGCCCCTCCCCCATCAGTCACTAATTAAGAAAATGCCCTCCTCCTGTTGAATCTTTCTTTTCCTTTCTTTCTCTCTCTCTCTCTTTCTTTCTTTCTCTTTTCTTTTCCTTTCTTTTTTCTTTTTTCTTTTTCTTTTTCTTTTTCTTTTTTTTTGAGACAGGGTTTCTCTGTGTAATTTTGGAGCCTATCCTGACACTCACTTTGTAAACCAGGCTGGCCTTGAACTCATAGAGATCCACCTGCCTCTGAGTGCTGGGATTGCTGCTGGATCTTATAGAAGGATTTTCTCAATTGAGATTCCCTTCTTTCAGATGACTAGCTTGTGTCAAGTTGACATAAAACTAGCTAGCACAAATGGGTAAGCTGGTGGCTAGGAATCTAGCTTTGGTTGGGCACCATGACCTGTGCAATTGTAGCCCAAAGTAATAACATTTCCTCCTCCAACAGTAAGTGTGCTCTCTTGAGGTCTCTTCTGTTCAGCATGGAGACTACCCTTGTTATTCAGTTCCCAGAGATTTTAGGTGGACTGTAGGTTGTGTGAGACACAGTTACCAGCCCTGTCCTCATAGCCAGGGTTGAGCTGGCATCTTTCCTAAGAACCATTATCTTGTCCCCCATGCCCAGGTGCTAGAACGCTCCCGGGATGTGGTAGATGATGTCAGCGTCTCCCTGCGCCTCTGGGACACCTTTGGTGACCACCACAAAGACCGGCGATTTGCTTATGGAAGGTAAGAAGTCATGCAGGAGAGTTTTCATTCCTTTCTAAGGAACCTAGTGACTCTCTGCAGTAGAAACTATGAGGAAAAAGTGGAGGAGATATGGTGGTGGGTATTCCCTGGGACTGGAGGCGTCGTGGGCTTAGAGACCTGGTTTGAGTCCCAGCTTTACAACCTACTGGCTCTGAACATTTCTGGGATGACTTTTCTCACTGTGAGATGGTGATCATTTCTTTCTTCCTTTTTTCTTTCTTTTAATGCTGGCCATTGAATCTAGAGCCTTACGTACACATCATAGGCAAGTGCTCTACCACTGAGCTACGTATATCTCTAGCCCTTTGTAAAGCAAAACAAAGAAGCAAAGAACTTTATTTTGAGACAAGGTCTTCCTCGGTTGCCCAGATTGGCCTTGAACTAACTATTGCCCAGGCATCCTTGAACTGGAAGTTTTCTACCTCAGCCCCTCAAATATTTGGCCTATATACCACCAGGCCTGGCAAAATAGTAATTTGTGTGTGTACAGATGTGTATATTGGTACATACATGTTCGTATATGTGCAAGTTGGTGGGAAGGGAATCTTGCACCCGTGTGTAACTGTGGAGGCTAGAGGACATCAGGATGTCTTCTTTTACCTTCTTTTTTTTAAAGACAGGGCCTCCCTCCACCCCAGACAGGGTTTCTCTGTGTAACAGCCATGACTGTCCTGGAAGTTGCATTGTAGAACAGGCTGGCCTTGGACTCACAGAGGTACATCTGCCCTGCCTTCCAAGTGCTGAGATTAAAGGCACAGGCTACCACTCCTGTCAAGACAGGGCTTTTTACTGAATCCAGAGCACATAGTTTTTGCTAGTCTTGCTGGCTAGAGAGTCCAGGGATGCCTGACACCCCCCCCCCATCTCCATGCTGGAGATACAAATGCTTACAGCCATTCTTGACTTTTTATGTGAATGTATGAGATGAGTACTGGGGATCTGAACTTACATCGTCATGCTTGCACAGAAATCATTTACCCACTTAGCCATATCCCCAGACCCCAAATGATAACTTTTAACTCATAAGAGAGCTATGAGGCCACATGGATTTTTGTGCTTTAAATATATAAATTGTAGTCACTATCATTTTATATTATGTGGAAGATGGTGAAAATAGGTTCATAAGATGGGGTAGGCTGTAGCTGAGAGGACAGGAGCAGGCAGACATATTTTCCTCTTTTTGGTGCCTGTAACTTTACTCTCCCTCTCCCCCTTCCCCCAGATCTGATGTGGTGGTTCTGTGTTTCTCCATTGCCAACCCCAATTCCCTCCACCATGTCAAGACCATGTGGTACCCAGAAATCAAGCATTTCTGCCCTCGAGCTCCTGTCATTCTGGTGGGCTGCCAGCTGGACCTGCGATATGCTGACCTGGAAGCTGTTAACAGGGCCAGGAGACCCTTGGCTAGGTAGGGGTACAGGTACTCAGGGAGAGGGAAGGGGCATGGGGGCAGGGCATTGCTATGGCTCCCTGCTCAGCCCTGAAGGAGTCCCACTGACCCTTACATCTCTCCATCCATTTGGAGCAAATTCACATCACTCACTCACTCACTCACTCACTCACTCACTCACTCACTCATCCTTCTGTGTCATTGTATACCATTGTGGGAACAGTCCTGTGCTATATTCAGTGAAGAAAGACATGAGAAGAAGACATGTGTGAGAATATTTGTATGAAAGGGCCTTATAATTCTGTGATGCTAATATAGTTGGCTCTTTGCATCATTGGTCCCACATCTGTGGGTTCAGCCAGTGTGAATGGGAATGTCCAGACTCCCCTAACCCCTGTCATTTTTCCTTAAATGAAGCATGATAACAACTATAGCAGTGGTCCTCAACCTTCCCAATGCTGCGACTCCTCAATTCAATTCTTCATGTTATGGTGACCCCCACAGCCATAAAATTATTTTCATTGCTACTTCATAACTGTAATTTTTGCTATTATTATGAATCATAATGTAAATAGCTGTGTTTCCTGATGGCCTTAGGCGATCCCTGTGAAAGGGCTATTTGACCCGCCCCAGTAGGTTGAGAAACACTGAACTATAGCATAGATTTATATTGCATGGATAATCTAGAAGAGGTTTAAATGAATAACATGGATATGCACAGGTTATGTAACTACAATGACACTTTATATGAGGGACTTGAGTTTCCACAGATTTGGAATCTGAGGGGGATCTTAGAACTGATCCCGTTCAGATACCAAGGGACATCTGGGAGCTTATTAAAGGGCAGATGCTGAGTAGACCCTCCAGCCTGGGAAAGAATGGCCAGGCTCTCTCCACCACCAACACAAGTTTGTTTTCCCTTCTTGCATGTCCCAGGCCCATTAAGCCCAATGAGATCCTCCCCCCAGAGAAGGGTCGGGAAGTGGCCAAAGAGCTGGGGATCCCTTACTACGAGACCAGTGTGGTGGCGCAGTTTGGTATCAAGGATGTCTTCGACAATGCCATCCGGGCTGCACTCATCTCCCGTCGTCACCTGCAGTTCTGGAAATCTCACCTGCGCAATGTGCAGCGGCCTCTACTGCAGGCACCCTTCCTGCCCCCGAAGCCACCGCCCCCCATCATCGTGGTGCCCGACCCCCCCTCCAGCAGCGAGGAGTGCCCCGCCCACCTCCTGGAAGACCCGCTCTGTGCGGATGTCATCCTGGTGCTGCAGGAGCGCGTGCGCATCTTTGCCCACAAGATCTACCTCTCCACCTCCTCCTCCAAATTCTATGACTTGTTTCTCATGGACCTGAGTGAGGGGGAGCTGGGGGGCCCCTCAGGGCCAGGGGGCCCCCACCCAGAGGACCACCGGAGCCACCCTGAGCAACACCACCATCATCACCATCACCACCATGGGCGGGACTTCCTGCTTCGGGCAGCCAGCTTTGACGTGTGTGAGAGTGCAGATGAGGCTGGGGGCTCTGGTCCTGCTGGTCTCCGGGCTTCAACTAGTGATGGTATCTTAAGGGGTAATGGAACAGGGTACCTACCAGGCAGGGGGCGCGTGCTTTCTTCCTGGAGCCGAGCTTTTGTGAGTATCCAGGAAGAGATGGCAGAGGACCCTCTGACTTTCAAATCCCGGCTGATGGTGGTGGTGAAGATGGATAACTCCATTCAGCCGGGGCCCTTCCGGGCTGTTCTCAAATACCTGTACACAGGGGAGCTGGGTGAAAATGAGCGGGACCTCATGCATATCGCCCACATTGCTGAGCTGCTAGAGGTCTTTGACCTACGCATGATGGTGGCCAACATTCTCAACAACGAGGCCTTCATGAATCAGGAGATCACCAAGGCCTTCCATGTTCGCCGGACCAACCGGGTCAAGGAGTGCTTGGCAAAGGGCACCTTCTCAGGTATGGCACATGCTTAGAAGACAAGGGACTCTCTCCAGGAAACTTTCTGAGGGTCATGTGTTAATCCCCTTAGTATTGGGAGTTGGCTTCAGCTCTCAGTGCCCTGGAAATATTGTTGCCCTCCTGCTCAAGCCAATTGCTCGAGTGTCTGTGGCCTATTACACATATCACATGGTTCCAGAAGTCTTGGGGGTAGTCAGGACCCAATGACTGCCCTTGGGGCTGATTCTCCAGCTTACCCACTGTGTCCTTACATGATGCCTCTTCTCCTCCTGGACAGATGTGACCTTCATCCTGGATGATGGCACCATCAGCGCCCATAAACCCCTACTGATTTCCAGCTGTGACTGGATGGCTGCCATGTTTGGGGGGCCATTTGTGGAGAGTTCTACCAGGGAGGTGAGGCTGGAGATGGGAAGGGAGAGGCTGGGAGAGACACTTACATCTTTGAATTTGAGATAGCATCATTAATGGTACTTTCCTCAGCATTGGTCATGTTCTAAGTATAGTGATGGACTCAAAACAAGTTTATGAGATGCTTCAAATAGCCAAGAGTTTTTCAATATCGCAGGAGAAGGAATAATACTCCCTTAGTAGTTTGGAAAACTCTTCCATATATATCTTATCTAATTTACCCAGACATACATATAGCAAGCTGAACCTGTTATTTGCAAGAAAGGGATGCCCTGAGAAGTTATGCAACTTGTACAAAGTTATGCAACTAGAAAAAAGAGGGTATGTCTAGAACTCAGGATTGACAGGTCCTTGGTTCCTTCATTAAACTCTGTTGCTTCTCTGAGGCAAACAGAACTGCCAGAAAAGCCTGTGTTCCAAGCTGAAGTCAGCAATGTCTGCAAAGGAAGGTTTTAGTATTATTGAGCTATGGGGAGACCAGAAGATAATGGCATTGAAAGGGGTTTGATATAGATCCATCCCAAGGAGGGGGAATGCATCCTTGGGGCCACACAGCGATGATCGAGAGTCAGCCAGGAAGTGGAGATGGAGGTATCCTGGTTGTATGATACCTGGCTCTGGAGTGATTGGAGCAGGAAATGGTAGACTGGGGTGTGAGTGTGGCAGAAGGGGCCCACTTGCATCTCCTTTGCTTTTGCTTTTGCTAGTTCTAGGAACTGGCTGGCTAGGCTGGAATGGACCAATCAGACTCTAGGTGTCAGAGCATCAAATATAGAATATAAAAGCACACAATGGATACAGACCCCTTTCTCTCTGGTCAGTGCCCATCCTTAGCTGACCCATCCTTTCCCTCCTCATTTGCTACCCTCTCAGGTACTAACAGCCTAGAGTTGGAAGGGGTTTGTTGACAAGTGCCTGTTCCCTCTTTTCCATCTTCCCAGGCAAGCAGAGCAGCCCAGACACAGCCCTTGGTGTTTTCTATAGTCTCTGTCTCCTGGACCACCAGTTGTCCGTCGTTCACAGGATTCTACTTTGTACAGATGTATACAATTCAAAGTATCCCCATGCAGTTTTCCCAGCTATATGTAATTTCTTTGGAGAGCAGGGACATGACCTTTGACTTCTGCCAGATACCCCTGCTGCCCCCCAACGCAGTTCTCACCCCTTAGACCATGCTCACCAGATCCTTGACTGAAAACCTGAACTAAGAGCAACCAGCAATGACCCTGGGTGAGTTAGAATATGAGCTCCCTAAGGTTTCTGGAAAGGACGTGCATAGGGAAAGAGGAGCAGAGTGGTTAAGAGCTGAACTGGTCTCTGAAGAGGGAGCAGGAGCTGGATGTACAGGGTATGGGGCCGGATCCTTTGAAGCCCTAGGGGCCTGTGTGCCCTGAGCATTTCTCAGCACCATAGACACATTTTAAATCGCCACCCGATTCCCAGAAAGTCCAGAGAGATATCTGGCGAGAAAGCAGTTTTTGTTTTCCTGCTGCTCTGAAGAGATCCCAGAGGCCCCAAGCAGCATCGTTGAGCAGCCAGCTGGTTCCCTTTGCTCATTCTGTAGCCCACTTTAGCTGTTTCCTGCAGGCACTGGGGGCTCAGGGGACTAGCTGACCCAGATGGCCCCTTCAAGCATCCTCCTGATAGAGTGGCTTTAGGAATCTAGATCCCTTTAGAAGACACCAGAGCCCCACTCACTAATGCTGTCAGGTCATGGAGGCTGTGTGCCAAGGTTATGGGGGATGCCTAAGAGGACTCAGGAACAACCCAGTAGGCTAGTTGGCTGGAGGAAATTAGCCCACCATCTTCCAGGACTGAGTTATTCTGGGCCACCCTAGACATTATGCCACCTGCTTGCTTCTTCCCACCCTAGGTGGTGTTTCCGTACACAAGCAAGAGCTGCATGAGGGCTGTGCTGGAGTACCTCTACACGGGCATGTTCACCTCCAGCCCAGACCTGGATGACATGAAGCTCATAGTCCTAGCCAACCGCCTCTGCCTACCGCATTTGGTCGCCCTAACAGGTAACTAACTGTAGTGTACCAGGACCTCCCTGGAGCAAGGTCGTGGAGACCCCAGGGAGTGATTAAGTATCTTTTGTTACCTCTCTGCTCTTGGAGGGCAGACTGGAATGCCAAGGGAAAAAGTGCTCTTAGAATCAGTCTGCTGGGGGCTGGAGGGATGGCTTAGTGGTTAAGAGCACTGGCACCTCTCCCAGAGGACCAAGGTTCAATTCCCCCATATGGCAGCTCACAACTGTCTATAACTCCATTTCCAGGGGATCCAGTACCCTCACACAGGCACATAAGGAGGCAAAACACAAATTCCAATTAAAAAAAAAAAAAAAGAATCCAGTCTGCTGATGTCTGTGGATTTTTCTTGAGGACATAGATGTGCAGAGTGTGGTGGTGGAGTGGTGATAGGGTTACCTTGGAGGTCTCATGACATCACAAAATGGTCTTTACAGGTGATGACACTTTGACCTTCACTCAGGCAAGGTCAAGACATCACAAAGAATAGAACATATTTCTGCTTCTGCTGTAGGTTTCTTCTTCTGGTCAGCTTCCTGTTCCTTTCTTCTTCCCCTCCTTCCTCTTCCTTGATGTCACCTTTTCTTCCTCTTCCAGGAACAATCTAGCACTGACTAACCCCATATAGTTCCCCGAAAGGCTTGTGAAAGCTGGGCCTGGCACTACAGGCCATGATCAGAGCTAACCAGAGGCACAGACAGAAGGAGCCTAAGTTCAAGTTTTGCCTGAGCTGCAGTAGAAGTTTAATTGTTCTGGGCAGTTTAGCAAACCTTGTCTCAAAGATGGGGGATGGCAATGGGGATGTGGCTTAGTGGTGGCATTTGCCTTCTTGTGAAAGGCCCTGGGTTTAGTTCCTAGTTTCAAACACACACACACACACACACACACACACACACACACACACACACTGTTAAAGTCCCTCTCTTTTCCCCTGAGGAAACTACATTGCCCAGTACTCTTACAGACTCACTCCCTTACCGTCTATAGTTTTATCATCCAAGCATGCTTCATTTAAATGTTATGGCTTGATTTTGCTTTTTCTGTTACTTTTTACATTTCATTTAGTCAGTGAGTACCTGCCCATTTAAAAAAAAAAAAATTGTTGAAATACAAATTGTCATAGTTTGCTTTCTGCTGCTGTGATTAAAAAAAAAAAAAAAAGACCGACTTGGGGGAGGAACATGTTGATATAGCTTACAAGGGAAGCATGGCAGGATCTGAAGTGGAGACCAAGGAGGAGTTTGCTGCCTTGATGTCCATGACTCACTGAGCTTGCTCTCTTATACATCCGGGACCACCTGCCTAAGGTTGGTTTTGCCCACAGTGGGCTGGGCCCTCCCACACCAATCAGTAATGGAGAAAATGCCCTCACAGACATGCCTCCAGGGCCAATCTCATGGAGGCAATTCCTGGATCTCGGTTCCCCTGTTGTGGAATATTACTTTAAGTATGCAAAGGTGTGCTGCATTTAATTATGGGAAGGGGTGTGTTCTTTCACCTCGCTTGCCTAAGGCACCTGATTGGTCTAATAAAAAGCTGACGGCCAATAGCTAGGCAGGAGAGGGCCAGGCGCAGCTGGCAGGTAGAGAGGAGGAGTTTAAGCTTGGGAGAAGAGAACTAGGGAGAAAGATGGGGAGAGGGTTGGGGCCGGCCAGCCAGGCAGCTGCCAGTCAGCCACACATGGAGTAGGACATGCAGAATGAAAGAAAGGTAAAAAGCTGAGGCAAACAAGTTAATTTAAGTTATAGGAACTAGTGGGGCAGAATAATAATAATAATAATAATAATAATAATAATAATAATAATAAAGACTATTAAAACCTTTAAATAACACTAGGAAAAAAAGAGCTAGTGGGACAAGCATAAGCTGAGGCTGAACATGTCTTGATTTGGGAGCTGGTTGGTGGCCCAAAAGAAAACCTAGTTTGTGTCAAGCTGACAAAAAGTGGCCAGCCCACTCCAACTCTGGTCTATTAAAAATACATTTATTTATTTATTGTGTATATGTGTGGTGGTCTGAGGACTTTTGGGGGTTGGTTCTTTCCTTCATTCTGTGTGCTTTGGGGATCAAACTCAAGTGGTCATTTTTGGCAGCAAGTGTCTTTACCTCCTGAGCCATCTAAATTTTTACTGACTGAATTCCTTTCTTTTCTTCTCTTCTCCTTTTTTTTTTTTTTTTTTTTCTTGAGATGGGGTCCTCTGAAGGCTAGACTTGTTTCATACTCTGATCCTCCTGCCTCCACCTCATGGATGCTGGGATTATAGTTGTGCACCACCACACCTAGTTTATGTGATGCTGGGATGGAACCCAGGGCTTCACGCATGGTAGGCCAGTACTCTACCAACTGAGCTAGAACCCCAGTCCCACTATTCCATGTTCATGATGTATTAATATAATTCTTTCCCACCATATTTCTTGTAAACTGGCTATTCAATTTAGGATCTAGATCCTGGTGCACTTAAAAAACAAACAAACAAAAAAACAAAACCAATTGCCTTATGGGTTATTTCTCTTCATCAAGAGACAAAGATTGCCTTATTTTCTCTCTCTCTCTCTCTCTCTCTCTCTCTCTCTCTCTCTCTCTCTCTCTCTCTCTCTGTGTGTGTGTGTGTGTGTGTGTGTGTGTGTGTGTGTGTCTGTGTGGTTTTAGTGGCTATTGAGTAGTATCACTGCCAATTAGTATCAACTAATTGGGTGCTGCCAAAAGATGCTATCCCTACTCAGCCATTCTTCAAAAAGAGACATAGCCATCACTTACTGTTTGCTTACCCAGGAATCGAGTTTCTGTAGGAAAGACAGTAACACTTGGTTCTTTCCTTCCCTATATACATTTTTGAGATGCAGCTCTTTTCTCCCACCTTCGAGAGCAACCAATTTGTGAGTGTGTGTATATTTTTAAAGCATTACCATGAACAAATTCAGTTGGTTTCATTTAATTGTATTTATTCTTTTATTTGTTTTTTTTTTTTTTTTTAAGACAGGATCTTATAAAGCCCAGGATGGCCTTGAACTTGCTATGTGGCTTAACCTGGCTTTGAACTCCTGGTCTTCCTGTCTCATCCTCCAGAGTGCTAGCACTGTAGGCATGCATCACCACAACCAACACATTTATTCTTACTGAAGTTCAAATACTATACCTTTAACAATAGCAGTCTCTTCATGTTTACGCTAGAGTCCTTGGCTCCCTTGCTGTCTGGAATGAAAAGGTCTTAGCTCTACCCTGTACCTTTCTGTCTCAGTGCTGGACTCAGCATTTCTGCAGAACACCCTGGTTTCTTTGTGGTGATGAACCCAAGACCCTGGGCTTACTGGAAGTCCTGGTTTCCTACCATTGACAATAGAAATGCTCACTGATCTTGTGATACTTCCTGTTTCCAGGTCTTTCCTGTGGGAGAAGCTGGAACAAAAGGATTTATCTTATAAGGATTAAATACCTCATGGCTTTATTCTGCTACTTTTCATTAAATTCAGGACCAAAGAAGTTTGTTTCCTCCATATAAATGTTGTAATGTAAACTGGAAGATCAATGTATCATTTGTTAATAAAGTTTAAATTAATATAAATAAATAGATTTAACCCATACAGTTCCAGATCAGAGTTTTCAACAAACATGAGGCTTCAGGCCCTCTTCATCAGTGGCTGAGGACTGTGAGTCATATCAGATTATGGTGTGGGACATATGTAGTTTGAAAAGACTTCTCAGTAAGCTTAGCATCTTTCTCATTTCCTAACCCTACTCCACTGAGGTCTATTTCCCTCCAATAGGAACAAACTTAAAGTCTCCCATGGATTTTCTGGCCTGTTGGGACTTAGCCATGGCCTGATGAGTTTGAATCCCTCCCTGCAGTAATCCCCTGATGTGGTCCATAGCACTGTGGGTCCTTTGCCATGTTTCTTCAGCTGATTGTTGGCTGTTTGTGTGTGTCACAGAGCAGTACACAGTGACGGGGCTGATGGAGGCAACCCAGATGATGGTGGACATCGATGGGGATGTCCTTGTGTTCCTGGAATTGGCACAGGTATCACTGTAGGGAAAGAGATTGACAAAGCTTGATTCCAGGCTCTTTCTGCCCATAGGCAGAGTATAGGGTTCTGGGAGGTGATGCTTGGGGTGGTGTATAGCCTTGGCTTGCCAGCTGGGTGAAGTTTATGTCATCTTATATACCAGGAAGCAACTAGAGAACTTTTGGATATCTACAAAGAGAGCTAGCTGTCCATGAGATGGAGGGGCTGAGACTGTAGGTCATCAGAGGGGCCTCCAGAATAGGGCTGGGGGATTCCCCCTCTGAAGTTAACTGCCTGCCTCCTTATTGTCAAACAAAGGAGTCACAGTGCCAGGAATTTGGTCTTTGAGTGTGGCTGCTGCCGGGTTTTCTAAACTTGGTTGCCCATTTCTTAGTACAGACTGTTTTGTCTGCAGACAGGACGAGAAGGGAACTCTGTGGGATATGAGCTAAGAAGAGCAGATGCCAGAGAAAGGGCACATGGAATATGAATATCAGTAGCACAGATGCTGGTGGCAATTGAAGGGTTGGTAATGGGTCCTAGGAGCTCACATCAAGCATTGTCTTGCTCAGTTCTGGGTTTACCTGCTTGGGGGAGGGGGGCACTTCATGACTGCAGAGCATCTGTGGGCACTACCTAGTGCTGCTGCACCATAGGCCACTATGCAGAGTCCCTGCTCCAACAGGAATGCATTTCTGTACCATCCACAGTTCCATTGTGCATATCAGTTGGCCGACTGGTGTCTCCATCACATCTGTACCAACTACAATAATGTGTGCCGCAAGTTCCCTCGAGACATGAAGGCCATGTCCCCAGGTAAGTCTCTGTGCCAGCCTCAGCAGCTTGTGTATGTAGTAGCTAACCTGGACCGTGGGCAGGGTGGGCTCAGTGCTGACCTGTGGCTGCCTCCTAACTCAGCACCGCTTGCATTGTGCTCTAGAAAACCAGGAATACTTTGAGAAGCACCGGTGGCCACCCGTCTGGTACTTGAAAGAAGAGGACCACTATCAGCGTGCACGGAAGGAACGCGAGAAAGAGGACTATTTACATCTGCGGAGGCAGCCCAAGCGACGGTGGCTGTTCTGGAACAGTCCCTCATCACCATCCTCCTCAGCAGCAGGCTCGGCGTCCCCGTCCTCCTCCTCGGCCGTCGTCTGAGATGCTGCCACCCTCTTCAGATCCTGCTGCTGTTGTCCTCGTTAGCCCGTGTCCTTCTGCTCTCCTTTAACATCCTCTCCACCCCACAGGGGATGAGGGAACTCACCTAACCGGGGCCCTGAGGGCAGAGCCGTTCTCACCAGCCAATGTGGCTCAGGCCAGGAGGAGCCCGGCCCTGCAGATCAAAACAGGGTCCACCTACAATTCCAGGAAGGGCAGGAAAACAGCTGTCCCAAGGTGGGGAGCAGGAAAGAGCTCAGAGCTCTTGGTATTTTCTCTCTGGACTTGACAATAGAGTCAGTGGAGGAAAGCTTCCCTGCACGTGGGCTTGTCTGCATCAGTCTCTGCTTTGGCCAGGGAGGCAGCTTCCTCCCCAGGAGCTGGTCATGTTTTTTGTTTTTTTTTTCCCCACCAACAGACTTGAGGGGTGCAAGAATTTTGTGAGCACTGTCCCGTGGGCTTAATCAAATCCTTGCCTGAGAAGGCAGGGTAGGAGAGAAGTCAGCAAAGCCCATGTCAAGGCGTCTACACTGAGTTGTGGCTGCTAGGGAGAGAATGGAGCAAACTGCATCCTGCTAGCATCTTTTCAGGGCTGCAGGCAATGTGGACCTAGTGGTGGGTGGTAGCATTGGTTCAGCGTTCAGGTTTGTAGGCAGTACAATGCGAGTCTTCTACTTCACCCCTCCTGCACTCCTCACATTTGGTCATGAGTATAGAAGGAAGGGTGGGTGCAGTGCTCAGCAATCCCATGATCCTCTAGGCTTCCTGTCTCTGGGTTAACACTGATTTTTATGGGGTGGGGCAAAAGCAGCCCAACAAATGAAAATCAAACTCAAAAGAAAAATCACCACCAAGACCACTCTATCTTTTGTCCCTCCCATGCCCCACCCTAAGAATGAAGTCTCCAAAAGAGACCCTGTAGGGTAGGGTGTACATTTTTATAAAGCTGAATGGAGGCCTCTATAATAATGTGGCTACAAAGGGTTAGTGATACTGGCCACGCCAATGCCTTTCAGGAGGATTTGTACCCTCAGCATCTGAGGATGCTGTTGCCCGAGGCTGGATGGTTATAGGTTGCAGGGAGGGCTTTGACTTCCAGGCTGAAGCGGCTCTGAACTTTTTCCTTCTTGCTGCAGGCTAGCCTCCTCTTCCAAGGGTGACTTCACAAGTTGTATATGGAGCATGTGCTTTTGGGGACAGGGTGGGTGGGGCGGGAGCTTTGGTCAGGGGTTAAATGTCAGGAACAGACACACTGAAGAACAGGCCAAACAACCCAACCTGGTACTGGTTGAGGATAAAGGGAAGGAGAAATTTTAGTCCAGAGAGGAATCTAAGTGGCTGGAGAATGAACACAATAGCTTGAAACCTCCTTGGGATAAACACCGGGCCGCAGTTGACACTTTCCATTTCCTAATTATGATCCGTACCACATTTTATCATATTTTAGACTTAGGAGGTGAAATCCCATGAGGCAGTAGGAAGTAATGACTGATTCCCCAGGACATGGATATGTTGTTTGGGTCTGGGATTAAAGCAAACCCAGAAACAAATGCATGTCTGCAATCATGCGGTACTAAGACCTAGAGGGAACAGGCAGTAGCAGGTCTCACCTAGTACTGAACTCCACAGTCTGTGCCTGGACGGCCAAGACTGCAGCTGCCCTTTGGGTCAAGTCCTCTTGACTTGCCATTTGGGGAAGTGTGTTGGGTGCTGCCCTCTGCTGGCTAGTGTGCCTTCCTGCAGCTGAGTTCTAAATGGCTTCAAGTGTGAAGATGAGGTAGGTGTCTGTATGCATGGAAAAGGCAAGGCAGCCTCTCACTTTCCTTTGAGGACAGAGTTAGGGGTACATCTCCTGGAAGTTGTAGTAATAAGTAGAGTCCAGCCATAAAGAACAAGGGGATCTGGGTCTCAGTCAAGCAGCCTGAGTATCACTGGTGGACAGTGATGGACAGGCCAGTGGGAGAAAGTGAAGCTTTGAGGAGTTGGTGGAAAGCCCAAGGAAGACCAGGCCAGGCCAGTTCACCCCTCAGGGACCCACCCCCACCCCCACAGCTGTCAGAGCCAGTATGCACCAGGTAGAACCCTACAGTCTAGTAGGACCACCCAGGGGGGGCTGAGTGAGCCAGGAAGGGGGTGCAATTGCAGCCCCTCAGTATATGGGTGCTCTGGATTCCAGGGAGACAGAAGCAGGAGACACTCTAGTGTGGGACAAGCCTGTGGCATAAAAGCCCCTCCCCCAATGGGGGGCAGTGACACAAGAACATGCTACCCTGGACTATGTCACTCAGTGTTGTTTTGGAGGATGGGGGCACAAACAAACAACAACAAAAAATCCCCACACCTTTTTATATAAGGTTTCATATTTAATTTGGTCATGAATTCATAATACATTGAGTATTTTGTACCTACTGGCATGCCTTGTTTTATTTTTTGTTACCAACATGTTTCCAAGGGCAGGCAAGAAAGGACATCAAATGTGAGGGTGAAACACACTCCTATTGTTGGGGGCTGGGTACAGAGCCCAGCAAACCCTGATGTTCAACTCCAACATCTGCATGTAGGTACAACGCTTACACTCAGAGTAACATAACTAACACTGATCAGGAGAATACTCAGCTGGGGGTCTCCCTCCTGAAGCTAAACAGATGCCACAACAACAAGACACTATAGAACACCTGGAAACAGCCACCTCCTGTCCTGCTGTGTGGCTAGAATCTGTTGGAGAACCTTTTGGCAGAAGGAGGGCAGAAATAATGAGGACTTAAGAAGATTGTTCAGTGGTTTGGAACATTTGTTCTTCCAGAAGACCTGGGCTCAGTTCCAAGCAGCCACATAGTGGTTCACAACCTTCTGTAACTCCAGTTCAAAGTGATCAGATGCTGCTGTCTGACCTACGTGAACACCAGCATATCATGTACATATATGCAGGCAAAACACTCATAAAATAAAAATTAAAAAACAAAATATAAAAGTCACAAAATTAGATGGAGGCCAGGTATGGTGGCATATCCATTTAATCCCCAGAACTTGGTAGGCAGCTGCAGGCAGACCTCTGAATTGAGGCCATCCTGGTCTGCATAAGTGAGTTCAAGGTCAGCTAAGGCTACATGCATATTTAGAGTCTATCTTGAAAACAAATCAGTTTTTTAAAAACAAAATAGAAATTCATTCAGGACAAAAACCTGAATGTTCCAGCTCTCCAGAAATCCCTATCACAGTATTTTAAAAATATTTATGGATATGGTGATGCACACATCCAGCTTTAAGGAGGCTGAGGCAGGATGATTGTGAGTGAGGGCAGTCTGGGATTCATAGTGAAGGCCCAGACTCAAAACCAAAATCCAAAGAACTGACATTCAGTGTTTATTGAGGGCATGGTCCTCAAACATGGATTTCTGTGCCCCAGCATGGCCCAGGGCTAGATTCACTAGAACCGAGAATTCATGAGCTACTAGTATTTCACATTCATATGTACCATCCCTGACAGCATGCAGACATGAGGGGCAAGTCTCTGTGCCCTCTTTCGTTGGTCCCAGGAAGTCTCTAACACGAAATGCACACGAGCTTATTGGGCACCTCTAGCCTAACCTATCTACCATTTCCTCACCCCAGATACAGACGAGAAGTCCAAATAGGAACCAACAGTATATCATTATAAAAGAGAACTCACGACATTGGCTTGCATGCCTAGAACACACCTCTCAATTTGGATTTTAAAAATGTGTGTGTGTGCTCATGCCACATCAGAGGCCAGTACACAACTTGTAGAAATGTGTGTGTGTGTGTGTGTGTGTATGTGTGTATGCTCATGCCACATCAGAGGCCAGTAGACAACTTGTAGGAATCTGTTCCCACCTTCCAGTATGTGGTTTATGGGAATAGAACTTGGGTCATCAGGCGTGGTGGTAAGCACCTTTATCTGCTGAGCCATCACTCTGGCCCAGCACCTCTCTATCTGATCAAGATTATCTATCACAAACGTCAGATTATGGACCAGCTATGTCCATCAATGTGGATACATCTCCTACCTGTAAACATGCATTTATATATACTTATAAAGTATTAAACTCAGTGACTAATAAACTGGGTTTTAGCTCAGTTGCAAAGAACTTGCTCAACATGAACTATTGAAAGACCTAAAAAGTAATGTTAATGATGGACTAACCTAGAAACCAATATCTGTTCCTTGGAATTTGCTAGCTTCCTCTCACAAGGCCCTGAGATAAGAAGAATTCACACTGCCCCTCCTTTCCTGAGTCAACAGGTGGTAAATAGGGTCAAGAGATAGCTGTAACTCTGGTTTGCCCAGACAAGATTAATTAGCACACCTGAAGCCCTAAGGTCTGCTGACCCTAATAGCGAGACCATCCGGCCTCCAAGGGTCACGTACTCAATGGACAGAGGGTCCTACCCCCCTCCCTAAGCTTGTGGGTTTGCCTTTAAAAACACCTGGGCCCAGGGGAGGGGGCTTCTCTCTAGCCTGCGTGCTGGAGGAGCCTGTTTGCACAAACGTTTCCTGTTCATTAAAGCCTCTTGCGTTTTGCAGCAACTGGACTGGACATTGAGTTCTTGGGGTATCGACCAAACCTGGAAGACTCCTCATTCTGAGGGTCTTACACTATGACCTTCATTTAGTACCCAGAACAAGACAAAAACAAACAGAAATATAAAGGTGTAAAGCTTAAAAGATACAGTTATCCACACATAGACAGATAAGTACACATAAAAAGGAAAATCCAGACCATAGAACAAAACAGTAGTTGCCTCTTTGAGATCCCAGAGGCACTTGGAGTCAGGATGCTGCTAATTCCCCAGAAGAGGGCAGGAGATGCGTTACTACAAATAATGCTTTTTTATGTTCCCTATGTGTCCAAGCCAGCAAACTTACTCGAGGAAATGAGAAATCTGGACACCTGGGAGTTAAAAGTTCAAGACAGGAACAAATGCAAACCAGGATGCTGGAGATGCATTTAAGTGTCTGAGTGCTTGCCTAGTGTTCACAAGGTACAACAATACAATAATACTAAACAATAAATACAGAAAGATAAAATTAATTCTAATGACACTGAAGGGTCTGCTGCAGCTTTTCATACAGGTCTCTACATAGTCCTTGCTGTTCTGAGTTCACCTGGCCTTGAACCTCACAAGAGATGCTCCTGCCTATGTCTCCTCAGTGCTGGTATCACAGATGTGTGTCATCATAACTGGCTCTGCTGTAGTCTTTTGATAAATGAACTCTCCAGTTTTCACTGCGTGGTCTTCAATTGTGTCCCGGGCATACCTTTCTCCTATGGCTTCCAAGGCATCCAGGAGATTGTTGATGGAGGCACTCCGGCCTGTTTGGTTGAGCCATTTCAACAGCATCTGGTATAAGGTATCTTCAGGAACCTGTGTCACAGCTCTGACCATTTGAATGTCATTGTCTGTGAGGCCCATCTGCCGCATGAGGCTGTCCCAGGATTTAAAGGGCACAATATTCGAACACTGATTGAAGATTAGCTTCAGGGCTGAGTGTCAGAAAACATTGGGGACAGGTAAGTTGCAAGCCTATCACAAAGGGTGGAGGATTGTAAACCAGATCTAGAAGGCAAGGGTTGAACCTAATACATCCCCTTGCCACTCCATGAATGCTGTTGGGGCCTCACCATACCCTAAACCAACCAAGAATCTGGGGGCTGGAGACATGGCTCAGCAGTTAAGAGAACTGGCTTCTCTACCAAAGGTCCTGGGTTTGATTCCCAACACCCACATGGTGGCTCACAAACATCTGTAGCTATAGTCTCAGGAAATCTGCAAGTCTTCTAGCCTCTGTAAGGCACTAGGCACACAAGTGATTTACAGACGTACACGCAGGCAAAACACCCATATAAACAAAGTACATTTTTAAGTTTTTTTTTTTTTAGCATACTTTTAAAAAAAGAATCCTGTTCTGCAAGAGGGTTGTTGGCCCAGTGAGAGGAAGTGCATACATGCATACATTGTGTGTGTGTGTGTGTACACGTGTGTGTAGAAGGGGAGTAGCATGTGGTATGAGCCACAGAGGGAATGGGGGGATGGGTGCACAGTATCTCATGGAAAGGAGGCTGTTTAGGCTGTATTCATGGTGAATGGGGTACAGGGCAGCCTTCTCTGCCTCTGCAGAAAGAACTCAGGAGGAGAGAGGTGGAAGACCTTTCCATGCCAGCTGGCCTCCCTCCCATCGCTGCCACTAGATATTGGAAAAGGAATTGAAACCCTGAACCTGTAGCTAAGTAATGGAAAGTCACTTATGCAGTTATGATTACGTACATAAGGTATGTATGAAATGTGTCACCCTCCATCCGCAGAAACAGAAGGAGCAGGGATAGGAGTCCCAGGAGTCCCAAGGACAGGTTCTAACAGCCTTACTTACCCAATGAAAGGAGGGTTAGAGGTGTAGCTTAACTGGTAGAGTATTTACCCAGTATACTCAAAACCCTGGGTTCAATCCCAAGCATTACAGTACTGAGTGTGGGGGTTGGAGAGAGAACCCAGTGAATAAAACTACATACTGCTTTTGTAAAGAACCTAAGTTCTGTCCCCAGAATCCATGTAAAACTACTACGAACGAAAGCAAGTGCCATTTGATTCAACTCAGTACAAGTGAAAGTCATCAACTCAAGTAGTTTACATCTGAAACATTATTCATGAGATGGCTTCCATCCATTTTGTATGACATGTCAGAAGTCACGTTTGTGATTTATAGTATAGCTCACCAAACTAAGTGTGGCCATGTCAGGAGCTTCTAGTCTACGGCTCATGGGTATTAACAGGCCAGTGCACCATTCTGGAGACCCTGACGGAGGTGGCGATGGGGACTACAAGGAAGAAAGGAGGGATGGTGGGAGAGTGGAAGGACAGACAGATTCTAACCAATGGAGACAGAAGGGAGAAGAGGGGATTTATGGTTCCTAAGTCCAGTGACAATAGTGTAGGCATTTCACCCATCATTAGTTGTCTCAGCAGAGCACTATCTGCCATGGGAATGCCAGTTGGAATACTTTTCCTACTCTCCCAGCCTTCTGTGCTATTATTGCCTCATCAAAACACTCACCACCAACTGAGTCATTTCCATTTGCTGGAACCAGCAGCTTCCTTCCCACTGGAGAACTATCAGCTACCTCAGGTTCCTGTAAACAAATGGCAGAGACACATGGTCAGAGTCAGGAGACCTGGGGTCCAGGCTTGTTCCTAATTACCAGACTTAGGTTAAGTCTAGGTGAACTTCCTGCCTCATTTGCTTGAAGGCTCTTAAGGGTGAAATGCTCACTTCAAGTGTTCTGTGACAGGTGTACAACCTTATAAGCCTCAGTTAAGACTGAATAGTCCTCTTTACTCCAGGGTTCCCCTTCTTACCAACCTCTCTGCCCCAGGCTCCTTACAATACTCAGTTGGAGACTGCAGAAGAGAGAGTTTGCAAAATCCAAGGTCAAGATTTGTTTCAAGGCTTTAAAGGTGTTTTAATCAATAATAACAACTCACACATCAACTGTCTAAGTATGGAAATGAAAACATTAATAGCATGGGGGCTGGGAAGGTATTTGGTACAAGTGAATATGAAATTTGACCATTTAAAAGGTTTGAAATGTATGTGTGTGTGTATGTGACTGTATGTCTGTGTATGAGAGAGGGAGCTGTGGAGGCCAGAAGAGGGTTTGTATTTACTATAAGATGGCTTTTAAGATGGAGGTAGTGGGCTGGAGAGATGGCTCAGAAGCTAAGACCACTAACTGCTCTTCCAGAGGACCTGAGTTCAATTCCCACCAACTACATGGTGGCTCACAAGCATCTGCAATGAGATCTGGTGCCCTCTTCTTGCCTACAAGCATACATACACTATATACATAATAAATAAATAAAATCTTTTAAAAAATGGAAGCAGGCTGGTTCTTCAGAAACATTAATAATAAAGGAAATGTTCATAAAACAGCCAGTGTCATTCACAATGTAACACGTTGGAAATCAATAGGTCAAACTAAGACCATAATGTTTCCCTTTCTCTAACCATTGGGTTTTGTTTTGTTTTGTGGTGCTAGGATTCACACTCAGAAAGCTCTACATGGGATGCAAGGTCTCCACTCCAAGCCACACCCCTATTCTCTAGTCACTGTCCAGCTCTTTTCTGACAGTTCTAGCTACACAGTGAAAGGGAGTAAAAACAATAAGCAGACAAACAAATCAAGAGATAGGATTCTTAGCAGGGAGCAGGAAAAGTCATTGTTTTAGGTGTCTCTATGCTTAAATACCGAAGCGATGTTTTAAAACATGGCAGAAACAGTAAATAAAAAAATAGGACTAAGAGGATTGTGATGGCTATTTGAGGCAATGCGACACAATCGAGAGTCCCCAGGGAGGAATCTTCATGAGGAATTATCTAAACCGAGTTGGCCTGTGGGGACACCCATGAGGTCTTTTCTCACTTTGGTTAACTGAGATGAGAAGTCCCATCCTGCATGAGAGCGGAACCATTTCATGGGCGGGGCTGTGAGCTGGATGAAAAGAGAAGAGAGCTGAGTGAGAAGTATTCATTTACTGCTCTCTTTGCTGTGGATGGAATGAGGCTAGTTCTCTCAAGCTTCTGCTGCTAAGACTTCCGGTTATGGTAGACTGTAACCCGGAACTGTGCTGCTAAGACTTCCGGCTATGGCGGACTGTAACCCGGAACTGTGAACTAAAGTAGACACTTTCTCCCCTAAGTTTTTTCCCTCAGGGTCACTCATCACAACAACAGGAAAAGACATTAAGACAAAGACCCAACTTATAAGGGTGACAAAACAAACACACAAAATACAGTGTTGTCAATAGGATCACATGTCTCTAGAAAAACACAAAACTTAGCTATTCAAAAAGTCGTCTTAATATGTTGCTTCCTGTGGCAAGAAAAATATATTGAATATTGCGCTGAAGAGATGGCTCAGCAGTTAAGAGCACTTACTACCCTGGCAGAGAACCAGAGTTCAGATCTCAATCCCTATATTAGGCACCTCACACAGGCCTGTAACTCCAGCTCCAGGAGATCCTATGCCCTCATTTTGGCTTCTGTGGGCACCTGTGTGTGCATAAACACATAAAATAAATCTTTTAAAAATTGAGTATTGAGAAGATTTCAATACCTACCAGACTAGTTTTTATATTTAATTTAAAAAACTACTGTGTGTGCGTGTGAGTGTGCAGGCGCCTGTGTGCCATGGTGTGCACTTAGAAGCCAGAGAACAATGTCTGAAAGCCTTTCTCGCCTTCCACCTTATTGAGGGAAATGTGTCTTGTTTCTGCTATATTGCCTATTCCAGGATAGCTAGCCCACAGGTTCCAGGCTTCTCCTGTCTCCCTTCTCTACCTCTAATCTCACTGTATGAGTGATGAGATTAGAGATCTGAACTGCCACATCTGGCTTTTTGTGGATTCTAATGGTCAAACTCAGGCCATCAGGCTTTTACAGCAAGTTCTTTTAGCCACTGAACAATCTTCCTCATGTCCCCCCTTTAATATTTAAGACAAATTCAATAAAAATTCCAATTATTATTTGAGGCATGGGAAAAAAAACTTATGAATTCTAAATTGTATCTGGGTAAATTGACAAGTTTTGAAAAAGTAAATATCTGCTTATTTTAATATACTAGAAAACTAATGTGCAACCAAGTATTGTATCTATGTCTGTGAGGCTTACATGTAAATGATTTTGATACTGCATAAATGTTTAAAGAAAAGATCCCAAGAGACTGAAATTACCCTCGCCTCTCAGGAGGGGATGAGCTGCAGCCCTCTTAACACTCACAGGCCCCTTTCTGCACTGTTTGCATTCTGTAAGTTAAACTGAGGAGCTCTTGACTGTTTTTAAATTTATTTCCCTTTCTCAGCTGGGCAATGGTGACACACGTCTTTAATCCCAGCACTTGAGAGGCAGAGGCAGGTGGATCTCTGAGTTTGATGCCAACCTGATCTACAAAGCTACACAGAGAAACCCTGTCTCAAAAAAACAAAAACAAAAAACTCCACTGGGCATTGGTGGCAATCGCCTTTAATGCCTGGTCTATGGAGCTAGGTCCAGGACAGGCTCCACAGCAATACAGAGAAACCCTGTCTCGAAAAATCAAAACAAAACAAAACAAAACAAACAAACAAACGAAAAAACCCCGACAAAACAAAACAAAAAAACCAATTAACAAATCTTATTTCCCTTTCTCTTTATAAAGTAAAAACTAGGCATAGTTACAAAAGTGAAAGGAAGTAACTGTCAAGATGGACGTTTGACTTGTGAGTGAGGAGGAGCCAGGGAAGCTGGTAAGGGGGACTCAATATTTAAATGGAATTGAAAGAACGACATGGTGACTAGGAACAGCGAATCACAAAATAAAAATCCATCTAGATGACACAGAAATATGCAAAAATGGAATCAGTGGGAAAAAATCTCCCCAAGAAGTCAAAGACTCATCTTACGTTGGGGTAAAGGTTTAGGGAGGCTATGAGTGACGAGAAGTAAATACATAGGCTGATTTTAACAGTTAAAAATGAAATATCAGAACAAGTTAAAGGACAAGAATTAAGAACAAGGGGCTGGGGAGATGGCTCGGTCAGTAAGGTGATTGTCACAGAAGTATGAAGGCCTGAGTCCAGATGCCTAATACTACATAAAAGCCAGACATAGAGGCTAAGTAACTCCAGTTCCAGATGATTGGGCACCCTCTTATGACCTCATCAGGCTCCAGAAACACACATGGTGCACATACATACATTCAGGCAAAGCACTCCTACAGATAACATAAAATAAAAAAGTCGGGGGCTGGGGGAAGATGGGCATGGCTGCTTGTTCTTTAATGCAAGCATCAGGAAGGTGGGGACAGGTGAACCCCTGACATTTGCAGGCCCAGCCAGAGATCCTGCCTTAGAAGACAGTAAAACGAAGAAGAGAAGTGAGGAAAACATTTGACAAACCTCTGGCCTCCACATTCTGATGCAGACATACATGTATATATTCACATGAGCACATATATGCAATACAAGAAATTAGAACTCTATTACCCATGTGAGAGAAAAAAAATACTTATGTAGGGGGCATTTTTTTCTTACAAATGACATTTGTAATGACATTAGGATAACGACATGCAAAAATGTTTGAGACAAAGCCACATACGTGCCAGACCGCTGATGCTTTCCGACAGATATCACCCTGAATTTCAGATCCTCCTGACTGATACAAGTGTGTGGAAATGACTTTGAGAAGGTGAAGAGGTCACTCAGGAGTCCATAGCCAGGGCCCCTGCAGGGTCTCACTCATCTCAGGGTTGTTACCCTAGCTCACATATCCATGCTCTCCTGCTGGCACTGTGTGTGTGGGGGGGGGGTCACTACTCTCACCTGACTCCACCCACAGGAGCTGGGCAGAAAGGGCAGAGCTGCAACACGTCCTCGAAATGACCACTTGATGGAGAGTAGACCCAGAGCTCCAATCACTTCAGTGAGCCAGGACAGCAACCCAGGACAGGTGCAGATGTGACCTCCTCCCTGGGCTGTGCAGCTCCTCCTATGCCCTGCTTCTCAGGGTTGGAGGGATGGCTCAGTGGTCAAGAGCATTGGCAGCTCTTCCAGAGGACCTGGGTTTGATTCCCAGAACCCATATGGTGGCTCACAACTAGCTGTAAGCTCCAGTTCCAGAAGATCCAATGTCTTCTTCTGGCCTCCAAGGTCACCAGACATGCATATGATGCACAGACATACATGTAGACAAAACACTCATACACATAAAATTTTAAAATGCAAATTAAAAGGAGCTATGATCTGTAGTATAGCTACAACTTCTGGGACCTTTACTGCAGGACTGACCATGCTGTATTGAGAGTCGTTTCCCACGTTGGATGTCTCTTCTCTCAGAAGATTTCTCGAATGATCAGAGTCCTGTTCATGTTCACAGTCCCGTTCACGGCCTAGAAGAGGAGATCCACCTAGCAAGTGGCTGGGGGTCTCATCAGCCCTTTTCTATCTAAGAAGAAGGAGCTAGAGGCTCCAACACTGGATAAGGAGGGGTCATTCTTGCTTGGGGCTACCCCTCAGGCAGCTGGGGAGAAACTGAATGAAAATAACACACATGAAATCTCTGTCTGGTTCTGCTATAACCAGAGCTGTGCCCCGCCCTCTCCTGCCCTGACTTTTATCCTCAGTTGATGACTCTTTGCCCTGACCACACCCTACTCTCTCAGACTTGGTGTAGTGAGGGAACTGGTGAGATTCTGGACTTCTGTGGTCTGGGGGAACTTGGAGATGGTATGTCAGTTGCAGGAGCAAGAGAGGGAGCTAGGCTTCAAGGACACTGGGGTTTGGGCCACAGAGAGGGCAATTTTGAAGATTAAGATTCGGTGTTCAAGGGACCCACCCTCAGCCAACACTCACGTGGATAGGCTCCTTTCATATACTGCAAGACTCGCCTCCACAACCCAGTCTTCCAACCAACCAAATATACAGCAATCAACACCACCGCCAGGGCCACTAGGATCACTATGATGAGGCTTAATTTAGAGCCTTTGGGGACACACTTCCGGTCAGTCTTCGGGGTACAGGGAGTCACTTCATCTTCTTCGTTGGTACATCTGGGCACACACAAGGAACAGATGATAAGATTTTGGGAGAAGTCTGCTTGCCAGATGTGGTGAAAGGGGAGTTCACCCACTCTGCCCAATGTCCCTGAGATGGTATGAAAGGAAGAACAGGCTTCTTGTGTCTAGACTCCAAATTTGTCCCTACATCTGGGCACACACAGTGCAGCCTTTGGGGAACTCTCTGTAGGCATGGTGGCAGCCTTTCTACCTTTTCTGCAGGGTGTGTGCTGAGCAGCCTTGGGCCACTGGGAGAGCCTAAGTTAGGAAAGAGAAGGACAGCAGCCTCTGTGGTCACCACTGAGCCATGTCCCCTTAAGGGTCAACCTTTAATAAGCAGACTCTTTTACCAATCGTAGCAAACACCAGGTGGTCAGGGAAGAGTAAATGAACTATTTTCCCTCAAACTCCTGAAGTTGAGACATGTGGTGTTGAGGGGACAGGGCCCTAGGGTGAGACTGGCTGAGGTGCCTGTGAGAGCCCCTGAGGGAGCCACGCACACACAGCCATTATGACTTTTGCGGGCTTGCAGCGCTTTTATCTTTGTAGGCTTCTGCCTGCACAAGACTTCTGAGGTGATGTAAACACAAACCGGGCTATATGCTGCTCATTCTCATGCTACATTCTGTGGATAGAGGACAAAGTACCTGGCCAAGGGAAAAGAGTGGGTGGGGAAACCCATGAAGGGATTGGTCGGGGGCAGGGATGTGGAGAGACCATAGCAGGCTCAGAGGACCCCAAATGTTTAGGGATATCCTGTATGGTGGGAACTCCAGGGATTTGGAGGGGAAAAAAAAGAGCACAAGGAAGCTTGGGTCTTCTGGAATTTCCCTGGGCTTGCAGACTTTCCAGGGCCCCGTTTCATACTCAGAGCATTTCTGGCAGAACTCAGGTGAGTTTTCATCTTCAAAGCTCTCGGGTTTGCACTGACACTCTGTGTCTCTGGTGGTGATGCATCTGTTTTTTTCATCTTTATCTGTAAGAGTTTGAGGGAGGGGTTTTCCTGGTTATCGTGGTAACACTTCCTTATGACACAGTTCCTTCTGCTACAGTTCAACTGAACGTAGGAAGCAATGAGGACCAATTTCTATTAACACCACAGCTGGAGTGTGCAGACGACAGCTCCCACAAACAGCTGTGAGTACTCAGTAAGGAACACAGTTTATGACCTCATGAATCAGATTTTTGGGGAGCAAGGGGTGTGCAGAGGATGGGCTTCAAGCTCCTGGAAACAGGAGGAGCATTAGGAAGCAGGGACTGAGAACTCACACCTACCAAGAGATCAGAGCCTAAAACAAGAAGAGCTGAGCCCAGAGCCAGCTGGGAGCTGAGCCTGAACCCACTCAAGCCATTCCTTTCTTTGTTACTATGATGGCTAATCTCAATTGTTACCTTGATAAGATCTGGGATCATCAGAGACAGACCTCTGGGCTTGTCTGTGAGGATTATCTTGATTAAGCTAATTGGGTGGGAATACTCAGACACATACACCCTGGGTGGCACCATTCTTAGACTAGTTTCCTGAACTGCCTAAGGAGAAAGTGAGCTGAGCACACACATCTATTACTCTCTGAAAACGGGAGTTGAGCAGCCGCTTCAAGCTCCTGCCCACCTTGACTTCCCTGCAACGATGGACGGTACCCTTGAACGGTGAGCCAGTTCAACTCTTTCTCCCTTAACTTGTTTTTGTTAGAGCTTTCATCTTAGCAACAGAAAAAGAAACTAAAACAATAATCTATGACCTAACACTTTAGCAGGCTCACAATAGGAAAGATGAATGCATGCTGAAGTTTCTGTGGAAGGTTCAAGAAGGAATGGCCTCTGGTCTCACAGGACTAGAAGGCAGTCAATACTAAGAAGAAAGCTGATGGATCCTCAGGGTAAGCTCAGAACATAGCATGTCACCAGTAGCTGGAGACTGACCACAGGGGTAGTGGGGAGACTCTCACTGGCTCTTTTCCTTTCTAAACTGGTGTTACATCCCATGACCCACCCTTCTGATTTCAATATCTAGAAAATGCAAAGCAGGCTACTATCTGTGGTCACTCAAGATTTGCTACTGGGTATCAAATCCATTGCAGAATTGAGGAGACTCACGCTAGACCCAGAATGGAATTAATGCCCTGTTCCAGATGTGCAGGGCTCTTTACTCCTCAATGATGGAACTCTGGCTGGAGACTTCCCTGTTCCACTCAGAACCCTGTATCTATCCTTCAAGGACCAGCTCTTATGTTATGTGATCGGTAGAGCCCAGGACATTTCCTGTTCACCAAGTGTGCGGAGTTATAAATCAGTGGTTGGTGAAGGCCCTGTGGCTGCAACTGGAGGTACCAAGCCCCACTCTCCACAGAGACAGATTAGTTTCTACCTCATTCTCAACTTACATCAATCATTCCTGAAACACAGCACAAATTAATTCTTCAGCAGGAGCTTTGCCTTTTAATTTTTGTGCCATTGAATTAAGGATAGGTGGAGAACAGGATGGGATAAAGATCAAATTGGGCTGGCACTGAGGTTTCCAAGTCCACAGTAGTTATGAGTGCCACCACCCCAGACCCTACCTATGGGAGAGAGTCCCTTTGTTCTGTACCTTCCTTACAGACGCTGCAGATTTTGCACGAAAGCCACTTGTTGAAAGAGTTGGTGAAGTCTATGCCATCTCTACAGGGCTTGCAAGTACCATTCTCATCTGGCAGATAGTAGCCTGAGGAGGAAAAGAAAGATGGTAAAGGAAACGTCAGGATTTCCAGAGCCACCATGAAGACCTGTGTCCTAGTTAGACAGACCTGGGAAGGGGGATTGCAATTAAGGAATTGCCTTCCTCAGATAGGCTGTGGGCATGACTATGGAGCATTTTCTTTCCTTCCTTCCTTCCTTCCTTCCTCCCTTCCTTCCTTCCTTCCTTTTAAAATGTTTTTAATAAAATTCTTTTTTATTATTATTTAAATTTTTAAAAATTAAAATCAATCTTATTTTACATACCAATCCCAGTTCCCTCTCCCTCCCATCCTTTCACTCCCCCCACGCTCCTCCTACCCCACCTCCCATCCACTCTTCAGAGAGGGTGAGGCCTTCCATGGGGGATCACCAAAGTCTATCCTATCATTTGGGGCAGGACCTAGGCCCTCTGCCCTGTATCTAGGCTGAGCAAGGTATTCCTCCATAGGGAATGGGCTCCAAAAAGCCAATTCACACACTGCCAGAGGCCTCCCAACTGACACCCACATTCAGAGGACCTGGTTGGTTCTATGCAGGTTCCCCAGCTGTCAGTCTGGAGTCCCTGAGCTCCCACTTGCTCAGGTCAGCTGTTTTTGTGGGTTTCCCCAACATTGTCTTGACCCCTTTGCTCATGACTCCTCCCTCTCTACTGGATTCCAGGAGTTTGGCTCAGTGTTTAGCTGTGAATCTCTGCTTCTATTTCCATCAGCTACTGGATGAAGGCTCTATGATAGCATTTAAGGCATCCTCTCCACTATTGCTTAGAGTCTTAGTTGGGGGTCATCCTTGTGGATTCCTGGGAATTTCCCTAGTGCCAGATTTCTCATTAAGCCCATAATGGCTCCCTTATTAAGGTATCCCTTTCCTTGCTCTCCTTCCCTGTTCTTCCCCCAACTCCACCTTCCTGATCCCTCATGTTCTCCTCCCCTCTCCCCTTCCCCACTCCCAATTTACTCAGGAGATCTTGTCTCTTTACCCTTCTCAGAGATCCATGTATGTTTTTCTTAGGGTCCTCCTCATTTCTTAGCTTCTCTGGGGTTGTGGGTCTCACTGTGTAGCCCTAGCTAGCCTAGAACTCACTATGTAAGCCAGGCAGAAACAGTTCAAAACAAGGCTGGTCTACTACATAAGCACATTCCAGGACAGCCAGGGTTAAATAGTAAGACCCTTCTCCCTCAATAAAAAGAAAGAGGATTAGAAAAGAATATCATGAACCTTGGCACATTAACAAAGTAGGTAACTTGTAAAACAGACAATCTATATAGGCAGATGATAGAAAGCCAATTCAAGATGAAGCGATTGGGTACCCATTCTCTTTCCAGCTCTTCTGGGACCTTAGGCCTACATCCCTATCAGGGTGAGAGAGGTTGGTCCTCTACTAATTGGAGAAGTAGACAGTGTTCCTAGTGACAGGGTCTGTGCAGTAAAGGAATATAAGATACCACTGCTCTCTGCATGTATCTGCACCACTCAGCAGAGATTAATTGTCCTCAAGATAGGTGGCTCCAGCACAGAGTCTCCTCCATGGGAACTGTGCCTTCTCAGCGCCTGCCGCCTGTTCCAGTCATCCCTAGAAGAAGGCTGAAGCCATGGCCAAAAGGAAAGGAAGCAGCTTCTCTTTCTTCTTCTTCCTTTCTTTTTTATTTATTCTATGTGTCTTTCACATCACACATCTTGATCCCATTCATTTCCCCATTCCTTCCCATCCGCCCACCCACCCCCACAACCCCTTCCCTCCCAAAATAAAACTGAAAAAAGGAAAGGAAAAGGAACTTGATAGCTTTGTGTAAAATAAAAAAATAACATATAGAATTAATTCAAAATACCTTGATGGAAGTATGGAAACTACCAAAACTGATAGGAAACATGGAGATAAATCTTCATGACCTTAGGTATAGAAGATGATCAATAAGTATCTATGGCAGAAAGGAAACTGGAACTAAAAAGACAGGAAGACTGGAAGAACATGGGGAGCTGGGGGTGGAAAGTTGGGGCCAAAGACTGGCAATCAATCTAGAATGTACCTGGTGAACAGTTTCCTTTGGATAGGCTCTGCTCTACTGTCCGTGAGTCAGCTGGGCGATCACCGATTATGCCGGCTGTCACTGTATTTAAGAAGTTCTGAAGAAACAAAGCAGGGCTTGCCTTAAGTAGCTGTTGGGTCTCACCATCACAAGGCCATCTCAACCTTTCCTCCAGCTTCTAAAACAACATGGACCTTAGACCCTCCCTCACTTCTAAAGCTGTCCAGTACATTGTGTTTCTTAGCTTCTTACAGCTGCCCAAGTCACAGAAATCTGAACTACTCCTCTCTTTTATTCTTTCCTGTTTAAACAAATTAAGTTTGTATACACATAGTAGAAAATTAGAGGAAAGTCATTAAAATAAAAATTACATTTTCTCAACTAGAAATAACATGCATTCTCTAATATTCTGTCTTGTTTTCCAGGTCTACTTAATCATATGCCTCTCTCTAGCTCATAGGACAGCCTGCAGCATATTCAGGGGTGAACAAGAAAGATCCTGTCTCAAACAAGTAGGTGAGGGCTGACACTGGAGGCTGTCCTCTGGTCTCCAGACCAATTCCATGGCACTTCGTCCACAAGAACTCACTGAGTGTGCACACACAGAGATTTGTAAAAATGCATTCAGGTATATGTGGTGAGTGAGGTATCCACCCAGCCCATACCTGTTGCACTGACCATGCCCATTGGGGCATAGGGACAGGTGCTGGCATGACCTAGGGGGACTAGGTCTGAGGTCCTGGACCCCAGCTAGATCTCTTACTTCCTGGCCAGAGAAAGAGAACATCCGGAGGCATCTTTGGGATGGGAACCTGGGGGGGGGGTATCTGTTTCTGGTGTAAGTGATTTCTCCCCAAATAACATCCATCAGTCTATCATTTCCAAGATCCTTATTTACCACACTTTAGGTGTACATTAGGTAAATCTTAATTATAATCATTTTAAGATCATTTGAAATAATCTCTATCGTTTTTAAACATGTAGGCCAGTAGTGCTAAGTGCACTCATATAGTCATGTAAACAAAATCCAAAATTCTTTTCATCTTGCAAAACTGAAAGTGGGTACCCATTAAAATAAAACACTGCTCACTCCTCCATCCACCTCTCCATGCTGGCAGCGTCTGTGTCTCCTTCCTTCCTTTGTTTTGTTTTCAAGTAGCTAAAAAAGTAGTACCAAAAGTAGCTAAAAGTCAAGAGAGTATGGAAACAATGGTTCTTATGCAGGGCTGCCTCGCACTAACTGAACATGTCTTAGTCTTAGTTCCTACTTTTATTCTACTTATTCTTATTCCACCTCAACAGTGAAGTATTAAAATGAAAGGTGGAAAACTGCAACCAGCCTGGCAAAAATGAATATATAGTAACATATAATTATATATGAATATATATAAAATAAGTGTCTCTAAGGAGACACTTGTGTGTCTCTCTGACTATTAGAAATTAGAAACAATGAACTCCAAGAACCTGGAATTCACAAAAAAAAAAAAAAAAAAAGAAAGAAAGAAAGCAACTGGAATTCCCCTCAGTAATCAGATGGCAGAAGGGAAAGGCCAGATTCTAGGCCTCGTTGGGGCCTTTTTATTCTTTCCAAACCCAAGGAATTGTAGAGCCCACAAAGCCATAAACAAAGGGACAGTGGTGGAAAGGGACGCTGGAAATGAACCTGCTTGTTCTCATAGCTACAGCTAATGCCTGGCAGGGCTTCTCCTAACTTGGGAAGGGAGCGAGCGGCAGGTGTCAGGCCGCACCAGCAGCTAGGCAGGACCAACCCCACGCCCTGACTCCCACTGCACCCCTACTTCTAATTTCTCTCTGCCCCGGGGGTCCAGCAGATTAACCAGGTCCTTCCTCCTCCACCAGCCACCTCGTCCCAGGTATAGTGCCCTGGTAACTGGGTCCTTCCTTCCCGCTCCTCTGCGCCCCATCTTGGTCCCCCCCCCCCCGCCCAACCTCACACCCAACGTCAGATCCTTTCTGCTTCGACCTTTGGGTCCTCCCCCCGCCACCCCCAGTGGAGTCCGGCCTCGTCATATCCTCCCCAGTCTAGAGTCCTCTGCCCACCTTTCCACCCCACCCAGCCTTACCCCATCTTCGGGTTCCCCACCCCTACCCCGCCATCGAACCTTCCACCCTTCAGCGTCGAGTTCTCCCCGCTCCACAGAGGTGTTCCTGCACACTTCAGCCCCACCCCCACCCCGCTAGCCCAGGGCACGTGCGCTGCTGGCATGCCGGGCACTTTTGCACTCCAGTACTGGGTAGCGCGCTCTGCCCGGGCAGCCCTCTCTCCCCGACGATGCTCACCAGTAGCAGAAAGAAGAAGACAACTTGTAACTTGCCGGTGTTCGTGACCCTAGGCCAAGGTCTATACCCCGGGAGAAGGCTGGGACCTGGGGTGTGTCCTGCCCAGGCCGCAGAGGCTGCGGGCGCGCTGGGTCCCAGAGATTTCATGGAGTTAGGGTTGCGCTGATCCCGGAGACTGCGGCTTCTCAAAATCCACGAAGAAGACATGTTTCCTCAGCCCAGAAAGGTTGTATGGATTCCTGTCCTGCGGCACCGTGTTTGGTGGCACTTTCTGCGCGCTCTCCCGAAAAGAAACTTCTAGGGAGTTCAGGGCGGGAACCATTCTGGGAGGAGCCAAGTAACACATCCAACCCCTTTCCTGAAACCTGGGAGCCTAGTCGCGGAGAGCATAGGCTAAGGACTGAACTTGAACAACTTTTTTTTTTTTTTTTTGAGAATCATAACATTTTTATTATAGTTTTCAAGTCATGAATATGTCCATGAATATAAAAACTCATAATATTCAGTAGTCTGCCTACCCCCTCATATTTTGACTAGCATTATGTCAAATAATATTGTCACCCTAGTAACAGAAGATAAATCTGTGTTTCTATACCGTTTAGAACACTATTTGTGCCATCCAGGAAAGACTAAGTTCACTGGACACCTGGCCCTCGCTGCCTGCAGACCTTCAATTGCTCACACTAGACACAGCACAGAACTGGTCGCAGGAACACCTGGGTGTGCGGGTGTGCCCTCCCACCCCCCCCACCCCCAGCGTCCAACCGCTCAGCTATAAGACGTTTCAG